TCCCATGTAGACTTGCCCCCCCACCCCCTCCCTTCACTGCTCTCACATTGCTGTGTTTATTTCCAACACCAGTCTGTTTGTACCGGTTCTCACAGTCTCTTCGCTTGCAGATATCTTATTTTTCCTTCTACCCTGAAGATGGAGGTGATATGTTCCTCTATAACATCGGTTAACACCACATCTACACGGTGCCACGTCCCAGAAAACTGCTTTCTTCTGTTTATCATTTGCTACAGTAGCAGTCATAACACACTCCTTAGAGTCGACATCACGTTTCAAAGTCGTAGATTCTCCACGTGTCTTGTAGTTACAAAGAAGCAGCACAGTTCAGAATATGCCTCAAGAGAATTGACATTTCATTCGATCAGGATAGAGGATAGTACACAGTATCGATCAGACGTATTTAGTTCATAAGAATTCCCCTAGGCAGAGGTAGGTAACAAGCGCACCAAGTTTTGAGATACAAAACTTTTTCAAAGTGGGACAGTGAATATACAAAATGATAGCCTGAAATTTCCTCTTTAATTTCATACCAAAAGAATTACTTTACATGAAAAACAACGGTTCAAAATACGAGCTCAAACTTAGAGCTGCAATGCACGTATGGGGTACAGAGCCTGGTGACATGTGATAGAAGCCGCTGGCTTGCCAGGTACAGAGCCCATCACTGAAGGGTTAATTGACTTTATGGAACAGTATCCTACTTGAGAAGCTAATAATCCTTTAGCTATGCAAGAAATCCTCCTTTCATAGAACTGAAAGGTTCATTACCTAGTTCAGAAGGGCTTGTCATTGCAACCCACCCTGGGTCCATGCAGTCATGCCCTGTTTCTCTAAAATTGCACCATGTACATCTGTGTGTCCCAAATTATTTCTCCTTCTCAGGTTTTCTGAAAAAATTGTGTGTATTTCTCATTTGTCTTCAGATTTTTATATAAGTGGATGTTTTGCATATGATAATATCTTTATCATTACCATATTATGTGCTCATATGCTTATTCATATCTCTTGTCCTTTTCTCGTTTCAGTGAGACTCAAAAGGTGGAAATGATAAGGAAGTTTTATGAGCATGAGAAGTATGCATGTATTTATTATGCCTACAACACTATTCAGAAGTACTTGGTGAGTTGCTTGTACAAATTTTTGGGGGTTGGAGTACATTGAATTTATGTTATTCATGACTCTTGTGTGTTGAACACAGTGTACTTGCATACTTCATGATTCTTGCGTGATAGAACACTGTTTGCGTCATCATAATTCTTGTGTGCTGGAACACTGTGTTTACATTTTTATGACCCTTGTGTGTTGTTTATATCTCCTATGTGATTCTTATGTGTTGGAACAAATTATGTTCACATTCTTCATGACACATGTGAGTTTGAAAACAGTGTATTTGCATTCTTACTGATTCTTATGCCTTTGCATTCTTCATTACTTTTGTGTTGCAACAAATTGACTGTGTTAGTGTTCCTCATGACCTGTGTATTGGAACACAATGTGACTGTTTTGCTCATGACTCTTTGTGTTAAAGCACAGTGCCTTTGGTTATTTATAACTCTTGTGTGCTGGAACACTTTCATTACTTGTATATTGGAACACAGTATCTTTTCATTTTTCATGACTCTTGTATATTTCAGTGTGAGAATTATGAGGGCTATTTGCAAAGTAACCTCCAGTGAGCTGTTAATGAAATAAGCAAAGAGAAAAAAAAATTATAAGCAAAAAGAAAATATGTACATATTTAGGCTACTTCTCAACTTAGTCACACTGGAATTGTTTCCATTTCGTTTATTTACCTTCCATAAATCATGTCGAGAGTACATTGAGACACTTGTATTTGTATGCCTGTGTCAAAGAAGTCTGCTGCCTGTGAGCTCAGCCACTTTCTGACACCTCTCATAAACTCATTATTATTGAACCATTATGATCCCAGCCACTTCTTCAGGTAGGCAAACAGGTGGTAGTCAGTGGGCTGTAAGGATGAAGGTCAAACAACCCACAGTTGAAATGCTCCAGCAGTGGTCAAGTGTGAGCATGGAGGAGCACTACACCAAGTGTCAGCATTCCACATATATTGCTTTGAGTGGCACCATGCAGGTATTTTTAGTTTTTCACAATATACTGCTGACATTATTGTGGTCCCTTGTTGCATCAATTCCTTCATCAGCACCCTTTTCCTGTCCCATAAGACAATTACCATCAGCTTTATGGCAGACAACGTTTGTTTAAACTTTTTTGGCCTGTTTGGTGAATGTGTGTGCATCCACTGCTTTTGACTGCTCTTTCATTTCAGCAATCACAAATGAAACTCAGGTTTCATCACCTGTAACTTGTACAATGTGATGGAGAAATTCATTGCCATGTTTGTGGTATTGCTCTTAAAAACTGAAATCTGAAACCATTCTTTGCGTTTTGTGGGAATCCATTAGCATTTTTGGTAGCCTTGTGCCAAATTTGCAATAGCTGAACCTATCTGTGATAATCTCTTAAGAGGACAGTGAGTGAAATTTGCGGAAATTCACACAAAAGTTCCGAAATTGTGAAGCACCGTCTTTCGCAAATTTTTTTGGTGACACTTTGAACTTCATTATCATTAACTAAAGATGGCCAAACACTTTGATTTTCATCATGAACATTCTACACCATTGTCTTACATTCCCATCACTCATTGCATGTTGGCTGTAATTCCCACGCATAATTCATGATAGATTTCTGCAGCTCTCATTGTTGAAGCATGAAGAAAGCAAATAACAATGCAAATTTTGCTGCTAATGGGATTATCAATCACAGAACACATCATAACTCACTCTGCAGAGACAAAAAGTAACACTGGGTGACCAGTTATATGATGGTTTATGAGGCAATGAGTCATGCTACCTCACATTTGCAAGCTGTCCCCACTTCTATATTATTTGCCTAAAATAAATGCAGGTCACTTTCCAGATAGCCCTCATATATTATGTCTACTACACAGAAGTGTATAGAATATTGATCTTACAAATTGCTGGGTATTGAAACAGTGTGTTTGTGTTCTCCACAACTCTTGTGTGTTTCAGAATGAACCATTCACGTCGTACATGCCTGAAGCTCTTTTCAACATTTCTCGCTTTCTGATGAATGAAACAAAAGATGTACATCCAAAAGGAGTGTCACAGTTTGCTATATTGTACACTCTTGCAAAACAAGCCAGAAATTTGGGAGCCTATAAATTGGCACGACAGGTGCTTGAGAAAATTCAAAGCCTCCATGTCCCTCTGAGATTTCAAGTAAGACATCAGGAAAGTATACTTTGCTTGTCCCCTACCATACCAGGAATTCTTTACTACAGAGACAGGGATATATTTTATTGTTGCATAATGTGACTTACATACAGGGTTCAGTTGAGACTGAAACTTTGTTTGCACCAGCATGGCAATAGTTTACTGCATTACCATAGGGGGAAGAGTTCAAGGGGTATCCCTGTGTTTTTCTTAATAATAATGGGTTCTGAATTGGATTATTTGAATTATTGACACCTTTACAACCACTCCTAATCACAATCAGTTTGTAACAGCTCACATTCAATGACTGCATAAGACTTGCTGCATTCTGGCTGGACTACAACTTGTCTTCCCCACTGATCTTTCTTCTACTGTGACTTACTTGGGTGTGATTTATGAATCACTCACTTCTGGGTTATGAATGAATTATGAATGATGAATTCCGAATCATGAATAAAGATTTCATTCTTATCTGCACAGCTGCTTATGTAGTCTAGCAGTAATGATGGAAAATGATTTTTGGGTTTTTCATATTCATGGAAACCTTTATTGAATCTTCGTTTACACGGAGACGTGTTTTGCACCGTGTTGTTTCCTAGAAGTCCACCTCCATGGAAATGTGTTTTGTACTGAGTTGCTTCCTAGAAACGGTCTACATGTCATTTGCAGCTGCCCTCCGTGTATGGAGGCCATCTCCTCCATCTGCAACCTGAAGACACGCCATGTCATAGTGACAGGAGACCTACCTAATATGGAAGACATGAGAATATGGATGAAAAAGATCCTCACGACATTCAGCAAGTGCCATTATGTAGTGTAAAAGGGGGGAGGGGGTGTAGTTTTCTGTAAATATGTGGCAGATTTTTTACTTTAGAAACTCAAAGTATGTTGCAAAATTTGTTTATTTGCTGGGAGGCATGGTTCAAGGCAGAAGAGTCAGTTCTACCTGTTTTTATGAAATGTGGTAATATCGTGTTTCCTTCCTGTATTTAAGCATCCTGTTGCATTACAACATCTAAAAGTGTTTATGTACTACACAGTCTGTCAACAATGCAACAAATTGTTCCTTTTCTCTTTCACTTTCACTTTATGTTGAAAATGAACATGAAAGAAAGAAGGAACAATTTGTTGCATTGTGTTGCCTTCGTACAGTAATCAGAAATTTAATTCTATCAGTACCACAGACAAGGAACCCCCTTGCACTTTCCCTTCTGCAGTCGTGTAAACTACTTTTAATGGCAAGTTGTAGTGATAACATGCTGATTTGCAATGTTCATATACATATATGTTTCAATGGCAGCATGATTATTGCCACACTGTCATGTTTACATTTTCTTGTTCTCATTATTAATATGTGTTTCAACCTTAAATGATCATTCTCATGTATGCCATATATCATAAGTTATATACATACATAATTCATAATTTCACTGATCCGTTGTCCAAATTTGGACCGGATATTGAACTCGTCAAAATAAGACTTGATTGCAGAAGTACAATCGTGTCAACAGCAAACAACCACACACAACTAAAAGCACCAAATAACCATAGTTTACATTGTCATTCATAAACAAAATTGCAAGGAATATAATTATTAAATGTTATACATGCTTAGCAGAAATATATTCATCTATTGAATAAAAAGCATTTGTTGTGAGGGAACTTTTCAGTGTGCATTTAAAAATCTTCACATTATCACTCATCCTTTGTATGTTTTGAGGAAGATTATTATAAACCATAATGGATGAATATAACATGCCTCTCCGGATTGAAGATAGTCTTATATTGACACGTGTAGCTTTCCAAACTGTCTAGTATTTATATGATGAATATTATTGTTGGTTTGAAAAAATTGTGATTTCTAACAACAAACATCAATATAGGATAGATATATAGGCTAGGAACCGTCAATATACCCAACCTCTTAAAACCTTCTCTACACGAGTTTCTAGGACTCAATCTCAGCATAACCCTAATCGCTCTTTTATGGGCAACAAATAAACTTTTTATAACCGGAGAAAAACCCCAGAATATAATACTATATTCAAGCTGAGACTGATAGTAAGAAAAATAGACCATTTGAAGAGCTTGTTCACTGACAAGGGATTGTAACTTCCTGAGCCTAAAACACACTGTATTCAGTTTCTTTAATAATTTTTCAGGTTGTTTCTTCCAATTAAGTTGACAGTCTAAATACATATCTAAAAAAATAACATTATCAACATCTTTAAGTCTAAAATTATTATATATTACCGATAATGTATACTCTGGAGACTTAAGAGTCACAAATTTAATCAGGTGAGTTTTACTCAAATTAAGTGTCAGATTGTTATTTTGAAACCAGCTTGAAACCCTAGTCATAACTCTATTTAATTTAGTATTCAAAGAGTTTAGGTCATTTGAGGTAATTAAAATTGTTGTGTCATCCGCATACAAAATAGTACATGCTGTATCCTTAAGAGTACCTGGGAAATCATTAATATAAACATTAAATAACATTTGTCCCAGGACAGATCCCTGTGGAACACCAAACCTTACAGATTTCCGTTCTGAGATGGTAGTAGTCGAATTACAAGTATGCAGCACAACTCTTTGCATTCTATTTTTAAATAAGTCTCCAACCATTTCAAAATAGGCCTTTTGACTCTACATCTTCAGCTTTTGAATCAATAGATCATGACTGACACAATCAAAGGCCTTTGTCAAATCACAAAAAATACCTACCATGAACTCCTTATTGTTCAATGCTTTAAGAACAGTATCAGTTAGATTAAAGACTGCGGTTTGTGTAGAAACATCCTTACAGAAACCATACTGCTCAGGGGCCAGGATATCATCTATATAAATAAAAATGTAAATGTTCATTTGTTACCCCCTCGAAAATCTCCGAAAGTTCTTCACCGATTGCTTAAAAATTTTGACACAATGTTGCATTCGAATGCGTGCGTTTTTATATACCCATTATACAGATGTCACACCTGTGACAGGTAAAAACATGCATCTTTTTAAAAGCAGAATTGGAATTTGGAATTCAGAAGAGTCACCCCTATGGAAACGCTAGAACCGATCGTTGCACAGGAAGTAACAACAGCGATACTGTATCGAATCTCCATGGTTATGACGAATACAAGGAGCGTTCCCACAGAGACAACGCAATAACAATGGGTCGTTGCGTAGGAATCACGGAATCAACAAAGCAGCGTTTCTGCGGTTATAACAAGGGCTCATTTGCATAGCAGCGGCCGAGGGTATTAAAGGGGGTTGAATTCATTCGCCCAGTCATTCTTGGAATAGCTGCCGCTGAAGAAGGTTGGTACCTAGACGCCAAGAGATACAGAAGTATTGGCCAAGAGATTGTGTAACCAGTAACTCTAATACGCAAGTGAATTACAATAAAGATTCGCTATAATTAATACGTCGTAAAGTTATTTGTAGCGTGACATACCCAAACATGCTACATGCATTACTGACACGTGCAACACGTCACATCCACATTGGAATTGAGCTGTGTCGTTTACCACAGCATTCATTTCATGAGTATAGTTTATTTTTTTCTTCTTTCATTGTTTTTCATTTCGTTTTCTTAACTGTTTTCCTTGTTTTTCAGTGCAATTGGCAGTGGAATTGAGCTGTGTCGATTGATCAGCGTTTGACTTGAAATATTTTGTTAGTATTTTTAATTTTTTTTTTTTGTTTCTTCTTTGTTTTCCAGGTCGTTTTCTTTCCTTTTTTAATGTCTTGCAATTTTATATGTTTTTGTTATAACTTTCTTTCTTCTTCAGTGCAATCGATCTGCTTTAGTTCATCCAAATAATGCCTCGCAGAAGATCAAACTTAGGTCGTCATACTCGCGGAGCGGAAGCAGTGCAAGGAGTAATTGCAAATCAAACTGGGGAAGAACGGGCAAACTGGGCCACAGCAACGCATGGCCGGGTACAGCTAGTTTCTTATAAAATGCTGTTTAAGCCTGCTAAACACTAATATTTAAAATAATTTAGAGAAACTTGTCAATAAAGATATCGATCTATAGTTGGCAATTTCAGTAACATCACCTTTCTTAAAACATGGTATAATATTTGCATATTTCAATCCGTCAGGACATATGCCCAAACTTACAGAAAGATTATAAATATAAGTAAATGGTTTTGCTATCTGTTCACCACATAATTTAATAATTTTATTTGACAACCCATCATCTCCACAAGAAGATATATTTTTTAATGAATTTATCGTGCTTAATACTTCTGCCTCAGTAACTGGAATATTTACAATTTCAGAAATTTTATCTGTAGAGTACTCACATAAAAGTGGTAAAAAACATACATTATTAGAACTCTGAGCAACTAATTTGTTAACTGAACTCAAAAAATATGAGTTAAATGCCTTAGCTTCAATCCTAGTATCGATTATTACATTACCTTCTCTCAGTTCCGAATGTAAATGTTTTTTCTTCGCCTCTCTACCATTTTCTCTTTAATGATTTTCCAGGACTCCTTGGATTTATTAGATGCAGCCATTATTATTCCCTCATAATATATAGCTTTAGCTCTTCTGATAACTTTTCTCAGCAGCGTACAATATCGAGTATAATACTCCTTTAAGCCTGGGTAATTAGTAGATCTAATCATCAAATACAAATACTTTTTACACTTACATGAAATTTTAATTCCTTTAGTGATGCACTGGTTAGAGTACACATTATTTTTGACAAATTTCTCTGGAAAACATGTTTCAAAAATCATTAAAAAGATATTAAAAAATAGATTAAAACTTTTGTTGACATCAAGATTACTTAAAACGCTTTCCCAGGTTTCCGTACTCAACATCTCACTAAAAGTTATGATGCCAGACTCAGATATAACTCTGGGAGTATGCCTCATCAGAAAACTAAACATTGTTGAATGATACCTCATTATTCTGAGCCCATTCAGCAAATGCCATTCTTTGATGTTTGTTTTGAATTGTAAGTTTAGGCAACACTACCACTTTGTATGCATATGAATTCA